ATGGATGGATGGATGGATGGATGGATGGATGGATGGATGGATGGATGGATGGATGGATGGATGGATGGCCCCGGATAAGCGGTGGAAAATGGATGGATGGATGGATGGATGGATGGATGGATGGATGGATGGATGGATGGATGGATGGATGGATGGAGAATGGATGGATACATTTGTAGCAAATTGATTTTTTAAATGACAGTGTGCAACCCACTTAATTATTTTTTTTTTTTAACAGAAAAAGACACGTTTCCCTGAATTGGTATGATAAAATCAACTAATGAATTGCTTAATTTGAGGGCTGAAACAGATTCATTTTATTGCCATTCATTTCAATGTGGGATTTTACCTCCATTTATTTCAAAAACTCTCAGAACCAATTAAATTCGTAACTAGAAGTTCCATTGAACTTGTAAACATATTTCACTCTTCTTGGGCACCAAGCCTTTTTTTAATGTAGAAGCTAGTGAAATCAGATCAGTAAAATGAGCAAAATGCGCTGTGCTAAAGAAATCGTAAAGAAACACTTACATTGGTTGTGTGTGTGCGCATGCGTGCGTGTGTGTGTGTTATTAATTGATATGACATTCTCTTTTGATGAAATTGTAAATCCATGGATTATTTCTGCCTGTATTTTAAGCAGCTAAAAATTTCCACGTTAACGTTGTTGCTTCTGTCTTTGAAAAGTGCTACAGTGATAAATTTTGCTTGCTTGTCCAAAGAGCCTAAATTAAGACTTACCCTACTGGCCGGCTCAAGAAATCTCTTCATGGTCCAACTAAGGCCAGGTGATCCATCTCTCTTACAAGAAAAACCTGCCGATTAATATACAATTGAGAAAAAATGGACATGCTATCTGCAGGAGCATTTATGTCAACAAAGTTTTTGGGGGTTCAAGCCTGAATTAACGGAGAGAGAAATACACTTAGGAAAAAGGAATCAGACCTTGGGAATGAGAAGAATGTCGACTCTTGTTCATTTTGCCCTTGTGTGTGGATTGAGCAATGAAATGATCCATCTCCTGTTCTGATACCTGAGAAAACACATTGATTGAGGCATTTTATCAGATTGCATCATGTGATATATTAATTTTTTTATTTTATTAAACTGTAAAACTTAATAATGTGCCCCAGATGAGAACGAATTGTTGATGTAAAGTAAAATAAAACAGCCACTGGTGGCCTCATATATCATTGTCACAAGCATTGTTTTGTGTCAAGTTGGAAGGAAAACTGAGCTGGGATGTTTTGGCCACAGGAGGGAGACAGAAGCCATTCCACACCGCATTTCAAGTCATCCTGGGAATATCCAACAGAGTTGACAGGCTTAACGTATCTGGCTGGGATAATGTAGAAAGCTGTGAAGTTAAACACCCCGGTGTCAATGGTCACACCCCTTTGGATTGATAGAAAGTGTTGCTGAAGCTGCAATAGCTGTGAGAGGGCACTACCGACCCTGGAATGTCCTGCTTTGAAGAGTTCTACTGTATCTAAAAAGATCATCAGCAAATAAACTGCAAGAAGGAGAGATACCGCCGCTCGTTCCTACCGACTGCTGTCAAGCTGCTGAATAAACATACGTGAAAACCTGTAACCATTGTAAAAAGCACAGCCACCTTATGCTGCATATATGCAGTTGCATATATGCTTATATCTATGTCTATAGTTTATGTTTATATTGCATTCCATACTGTGTACAGTTCTTTTTCTGAAACATTTCCTTGTGCATGCAACACTGTTTTTTTCTTTTCAACCCCCCCCCCCCCAAATTATGCTGCTGTAGACTGCAAATTTCCCCAGTGTGGGACCAATAAAGGTTATCTTATCTTAAACACCGACTCTACTGTTAATGCTTCTGATGTGGCAAAACTGGCAGAAGGGCAGGGTTCAATTTTAACTTGAAAGCAAGAAGTTCACCCAAAAAAATTAACATGCTGAAAAAAACCCCACTTACTTTGGGATTAGGGTGACGACTAATAATGAGACTCACTGGTCCAGGGCCACATTCACTGAGGATGGCGTATGCTTCACTGAGGGCAGCAAAACGAAGACTGACCGAATCCACCTCCAGTATCTGATCCCCCCGACTTATGTGAGGAAAGCATAGGTGTCACACAATAGGGAAGTAATATGATTATATTCCTGTAAAAGCATAGATCAATATATCCACAAAACAAATATTTGCTGACGGTTGAGAGATGACAAATAAATAAATAAATAAATGATGGAGTAACCTCGACGGAAGTGGGTTTTCATTCGGCAGTGTAATTGTCACTACGGGGCTGATGTTCCGATATAACTCCCAGTCCGCCACTGACAGACGCCTGTTTTGTTGATGACTGACGGAAACAGGTCCCACCTGTAGCGCATTTGATTGTTTGAGGAGGTTTCTTAGAGAGGAGTGCACTGACTATTAATGTCTGAGAGTCGTTTTTCCTGGCTCCTTGTGACTAGTGATTTCTGTTTGTACTTTGTCAGTGCGTTATTCGGAAAATAATATCGGCGCTTGTATTTCTGGGATCCCAAAACATTTTGAAACGAACAAACACTAAGTCAGTACAGTTTCATGAACACAGAGTCAGGTTAACCCTTTGATATATTTTAGCCAAGCTACCAAGTCCTAAAATTGGCAAATGAAGTCTGACTCAAGTCAAGTCATGTGACTCATATCTCTGACCTAATTATTATCTAGAAGAAAACAATTGTTTTTACCTGAGCCTGCCATCCATCTTGGCAACAGAACCCAGAGCTAGGCTATGGATGTAGATGCCAGGAGCAGAGTTATCTGGAGTAAGAAAACAAACTCCAATCCCCAGGCCAACGCCAGGCTCTATGTAAGGAAAAAAGAAGAAATCACACAGGATTATTCTTGCAACAACATTATTGAAAGAACCTTTTGGGCAAACACCCACACCCACACACACACACACACACACACACACACACACACACACACACACACACACACACACACACACACAGGTGCCCGCACATGCGCATACGTGTAATCACCAACAGTATTTGCAATTAATCGCCTGATTGGATCATACCCATATTGCACCAGCAAGTGTCTGCTCTGAGTTTACGCTTGAATTATTTATGGGATGTAAAAATCAATAATAAAAACAATTCAAGATCATAGTTTGTTCAACTTTGATGAAATTTTGCAGCTTTTATCCGATTTCATGTTTGTATCCGACATGTTTTTAAATGATGGAGGATTTTAAATTGACGGAGATGATGTGGCCTTTAAGTTTGGAGCTGACAATATTTAGTGTATTTTAGAATCACAAATTAGTTAAGAATGCTCCTTTCTATCTACACTTAGAGTTATGTGTCATTTTTGGGAGAAAACATCTTGCACTGAGGCGAGCGGACAATTTTCTTTTCATGCACAGATATGTACTTCCATGTCATCTTTCGAGTAAAGAAAGTAACAAAAATGGCGCATTCTGTTTTCATGCACGTTATGTCCACGTGAGGGACATTTCTTGATCACAATAACCATTCAAAGTCTTCCTCCATGACTCTTTCAGTCTTCAATGTACGTATGTATGCAAAAAGCTCCCCTAGGGACACTATTAAATGCCCTTAAATGGATAGAAAATAATGGCAAGATCTTTGACAGCTTTGTCTGTATTTTTATATGTAACCGGGTGTTTGAACACTTCAGCTCATATGCAGCAAAATACGTTTTTATTGAAAATAATCACACAGAGCCAGGCTGGCGAGTAGTGTTGTCGCTCCAGCACTGCTATGTTTTTCTCGACCAGAAACTGTTGGAGCCTCATGGCATTGGCAGAGGGGATGTTATCATGGTGAAGCAGATACGAGTTGTTCCACCACAACTCTCGCCTCTTCTCAAACACTGAACTAGGTAAACTGCAGAAAATTTAAGGGGAAAACTCATAGTTTGTGGTTTGGGTTTAAATTCTATCTTTAGTGACACCAGTCCTGGATTTATATTGACACACCTTGGAAGTATGCAGCTGTTGTACAATGCAAATGTACAGGCGCTCCCCGATTTACGAACATTCATGTTACGAACAACGGTACATACGAACATTTTGCGGGTACAGGTATGTCGAAAAATGTTCTCGGACAGAGATGCTGTAAGTTAGATTTTGTATTGCGCGCCTTTTTCCGAGTACTGTAGTACTTCTTTCCGCCGCTAATACCGACGTGAGGCGCTGTGAGAGGAGGAGGAGGAGGAGGAAACGCCTGTCCCCATGAAGAAGTTTGAGACGGAACTCTTGGCCGAGGGGTTTTCGCTCATAGATAAAGCCATCGCACTCTTCGAGCAGCAAGACCCAAATATTGAACGTTGCACAAAGGTTGCAAATCAAATGAATGATGCCATACAGTGCTACTGCATCATTTATGATGAGAAAAAGAAGAAAACTGTGCAATCGTCCATCATCTCCTTAAGCCTTCGAGTACATCTTCCAAAAGTAAGTTAAACTTCATTTTATTATACTTATATAAACCTTAAACATACTTATATAAGCCTTAAACATACATTCCATACAAAATATATCACTGAAGCAACTTACGAACGAATTCAGCTCACGAACGATCCTTCGGAACGTAGCTCGTTCGCTAGCTGGGGAGCGTCTGTATACACTCATAGCTACATATCAGTTTGATTATATGGAGTGCTGTAATCCAAAAAGGAAGAAAAAGAAACATTACCTTTATCAAGTGTGACCTCCATGATGATGCAGTCTTTTGGACCAGGACCCCTTTGGCCATCAGTCTCATCAATTCCAAAGGGAAGAGGTGTTCCCTCACTGGTATTGGAGTTGGGTGAGCTGGAGCGGCTACGGATACTTGGGGTTGCACAGGGTGTAAGGCTAGGGCTCCGCAGGCGAGTTCGAATTGTCAGAGTCACAACACCTTTTTTGAGTTGCTAGAGGAACAACAGAAAAGTGTCCAATACTGAGAAATTAAACATATGTGCTTCCTGTACTTACATTCCAGGAGAGAGGCCAATTTATCGCAGGTGGCAAAATTAGTATTTAAATCCAAACATAAACAAAACACATTTAATGGCGTTTAATTATCAGTTACCCTAAACAGGCTGCAAGACAGTTGCAGAGTATATATAGACAAACAACCAGAAGTGCACAATTTACCAAATTTTTCCGATCTGTCATTCGTTAGTAGCAGAAATGGGCAATTTACAAAAGTTTACCCGTCTGTCATCCTCAGTCTATCATTTTTTTTCAAGCCTAACCAAACTTCTAATTGTCAGTCAATGAGTCCATCATGTTATTTTAACCGCACATCAATTGTCGCTTCTGTCAGTAAAATTCACCAGTCTGCCAGTCTGCCTATCATCATTTACCATTTTAATCAAATTGCATTTTTCATCTGCTAGCTAGAGGATGACATTTTGAGGGGTGGGGGGTTACCTATTGACAGAAGTGTGGTTAAAATGACATGGCGGACTTACAATTTGGTTCATCTTGAAATAACGATGAATTGGTGCCCACCCCGCTGACAAATGACATACCAGCAAAATTTTGGAAATTACCCACCTCTGAGTTTTACATTTTAATTCAATGAGACCAATGACCTTGAAAGTCTGGATAGCTTGTTGATGGGTCATTCCTTGGAGAGACTCTCCATTTACCTCCAGAATCTCATCTCCTATGAAAAAATAGAACACAATACTTTGAGATTTCATTTAAGACTGTTAAACTCATTTCATCCGTCTATCCATTATCTGAAACTGCTTAATCCTCACAAGGGTTGTGGACGTGCTCTGGAGCTTATTCCAGCTGTCTTCAGGCAGTAGTTGAGATACACCCTGAACTGGTTGCCAGCCAATCGCAGGGCAGACATAGATGAACAACCATCCACACTCACACTCACGCCGAGGGATAATCTCAAGTGTTCCATTAACCTACCGTGCATGTTTTTGGAATGTGGACTACCCGGAGCAAACCCACACAGGCTGGGGAGAACATGCAAACTTCACAGAGGACGGTATATAATAATATATACCGTAAAACACATTTATGTAGATATTTCCTGTGTTCAATAATAGAAGTGTCCACAGCATTCGTAGAAAAAAAACAAACTGATTAGTCACGGTCAAATTACCTAACAGTTTTATTTTGGCCAGGTAAACAATAGGGAAGAGAAAGGTTACCCTCTTTTAGGCGTCCATCAGCAGCTGCAGCACCATGAGAGAAAATGGTCTTCACAAAAATTCCCATTTGACCACGAGATGAGTCCTGGCCACCAACAATACTGAATCCTAGGCACTAAGAAAATACATTGAAAAAATTATTGCAAATATGAATAGCAAACACACAATTGGAGTGTAATGATTGTGGTTTTATAAGGTATTTCGGAAGAATTTTAGGAAGAGTGTAATGTTATCTCTTCAGAATATGCAGTACATTGTCAAGATCGCTGAAGTGCTTTTTTTTATCTTACATATTTTGTAAGTTTAAAAAAAACAACAACAATAGAAAGTTGCAAATAGCAATGTATCCCACATCCTCAAATTGTTCATCATGTACCTTACATCTATTTACCATAAAAGTACTCTCGTCCAATGTTTTTCAACCTTTTTTCGAGGCAAGGCACATTTCTTTCATTGAAAAAAATCCCGTGGCACACCACTACCTAGATGTGAAAAACTCTTGTTTTAACAATTTAGTGTTATATTGTTCCTATAAGCGTTTTTTTTAACATTGAAAATTAAGGCAATATGATAACACAATCAATAGGAATCAAATCAACATCGATCCAATATTTAGTGCATTCGTTTTAATGGCAAGTAAAATATAGTCAATTAGAACGTTAACTTGCTCAGGGTTGGATTTTTTTCTGTGACAGCTGGTTCTTTTTCTCCCGGTCGTTTGCGCTCTCCCGCAATATTGAAGCAATTCATTTTCCCATCTTGAGTCTTTGTATAATTCCAACATCATTCAAATGACTTTTCTGCGGAATGTGTCGCTTGAGGTAGTCTAGCTTCCATTTAGTCCGTATTTTTCCATCGGAAAATTAGCTTCCAGCTTAAGCTTTGCTGCATATTTTGCAGAGCAGACCTTTCTCATTCGAAATAAAAATATCTCACCCAGTTTCACTGCTTGTTCTTCTGTTTGCACATACAGTGAAACTCCTCTACAACGAAACCTACATGGGAAAAAATACCCCCAAGTGTGAAAAAAATTTCATGCGTGAAAGCCATTCCCAATTTTCTGCTCCCCCTACAATGAAAAATCCCCCTGTTCCGTTATTCCAAATCTTTTTCTCTGCTCTTGACTCGCGACGAGATTCACTACAACGAAAACAAGCCTTCCACAAAAGTCTAATCCAACCTCAGCCAACAGCGACTCCTATTGCTTCGCTCCGAAACTGCAACAGCAACCACCACACTAGTTTACACATGCGCAGTAGTCCAGGAAGTATTTCGTTGCATTGCTAAAATGGCTACAAAACGGAGCTTTGGATGCCAAGCAGCAAAGAAAAGAAGAGCTCTGACGCTGGAAGAGAGGGTAAAAGTGATCAAAAAGAAAGACGGAGGAAGCAAAATAAAAGACATGATCCAAGAAATTGATGTAAGTGAAAGTGAATGCTGATCGTAAATTTCGCAATTTCTTTCCCTTTTTTTCTCCTTGTGCACAACTGTACATTGGCTATACAGTACAGTACTATACAGTATGAAGTGTCTTTGGGATTAGGATTGTTTGATTTCAAAAATTATTGATTTAAATTCCAATTTAAGTCAGCTAAAAATTAACAAATCAATACTTTTATTTTCTATCAATTATTTTTTCACGAATGGACAGAAAATTCGAATGTTGCTTTCCAACATAACCAAAAAAATCTTGTATCATTAAATTTATTAAATAAATCTTCATAAGGTGTGACAGTACTGTATACAGTAGGCATATTATTCACTACAGTACTATTATGCTTCAGGTGCATTTTATAGAAGTAAAATTTTAAATCAAATTATAGATATTGAAACTTCCTTTTTGATAAAAGAGTATATATAACTTTTTTAAACCAACAGACAAAGTGGAGTGATTAATATAAAAAATTGTATGTTAATGTTAAACAATATCAAATAAGTGTATGCTCATATTTATGCACTATGTACAGGATTGGAATAAAAATAAATAGTACACGTTTACGTTTTGTGTGTGTGTGTGTGTGTGTGTGTGTGTGTGTGTTTACATATGAGATCAAATTTGCTACAGTGGAAAAACCCCCTCTTGTGAAAATTTTCTTGCTGCAAACATGATTTCATTGTAGAGGAGTTTCACTGTACTCCGACAGCCATTCCAACTTAAAAGAATAGCACTCCATTCTTATTTTAGTTTGGGGAGTCGACGTATCACGTTCACCGCCCGGTCATTTCGCCATGATGAAGGATTAGCATTAGTGTCACTTATCGCCGCCGTACTGTTATTGTTATGGAGCAGAGAACATGCGCAAGTACTGTCAATGCCGTGATTGGCTGCATAGTGTCATTGCATCGTATCGTGTGATTAGCTGGACACCTGTCACTCACTGCATTACACAGCAAATTGATACAGAAAAAAAGTTCTACCTCATTCATTTGCAGTGCGTTCACTGCACTGGATAGGTTTTCTTGTGGGCTGAGAGTGTGCGACCAATGCACAGTTGTGCAGCTCGGAGGGAACATTGGTGCCGTTGTATCTCCAGTAAACGTCAATCTAAATGAAAGATACCTTTCATTGTATTGCCTGGCGTGAGAAACTTCGCTCATCTCGAAGTATAAGGCAATTTCCTAGCTGCTGCTCACTACCGGTATAGAAGAGTACTACATGATTACTCTTCCAGGAGATCGACCGCACAGGCATACATATTGTATAATTTCACACGGCACACCTGACAATATCTCACGGCACACTGGCACAGGGTTTTAAAAACACTGCTCTAGTCTGGGCGGCCCAGTGGTCCAGTGGTTAGCGCATCGACCTCACAGTGCGGAGATTCAATTCCAGCTCCGGCCTCCCTGTGTGGAGTTTGCATGTTCTCCCCGGGCCTGCGTGGGTTTTCTCCGGGTACTCCGGTTTCCTCCCACATTCCAAAAACATGCATGGCAGGCTGCTTGAACACTCCAAATTGTCCATAGGGGTGAGTGTGAGCGCTAATGGTTGTTCGTTTCTGTGTGCCCTGCGATTGGCTGGCAACCGGTTCAGGATGTCCCCCGCCTACTGCCCGAAGACAGCTGGGATAGGCTCCAGCACCCCCCGCGACCCGTGTGAGGATAAGCGGATTAGAAAATGGATGGATGGATGGATGGATGGATGCTCGAGTCTATATACCCACCAACCAAAACTGAAACACTCCATCTCTCTATTGTAGCCAGTATAAATTTGGGAGTGATCTGATTAAGATGTTTGTTTTTTTACATAAAAATGGTGTAAATACCAAATTTTAAGTAAAATGATTGATGATGACTGAAAGGCAGCACAGTGATCACAGTACAGAAGTCATTGGCTCAAATCAGGCCCCAGCCTTCCTGTGTGGAATTCACATGTTCTCCCTGTGCCTGCGTGGGTTTTCTCCAGGTACTCTGGTATCCTCCCACATTCCAAAAACATGCAGGGCAGGTTAACGGAGCACTTTAAATTCTCCTTACGTGTTATTGTGAGTGTGAATAGTTGTTTGTCGATGTGCGCTTTGCAATTGGCTGGCAACCAGTTTAGGGTATACCCCGTTTACTGCCCGAAGACAGCTGGGATAGGCTCTCGCATGCCCACGACTGTTTTGAGGATAAGCATTTCAGATAATGGAAGGTTTGATGATTCGTAGTGCTCATTTGCCTGAGTCTGTGAGTGAACTTTAAAACCAACCTCACTTGTGGGTCAACAGCGTAGACCAGGGGTGGCCAACCCGCGGCTTGCGAGCCGCATGCGGCTCTTTGGCTGGTTCAATGCGGCTCCCGGGCTTTTACACGACAAGCGTCGAAAATGCCTCGGCAGAGGTGATACCATTCAAAAAAGGGGCAAACTACACAGAACGTACTACGTCAGCCTATCATCAGTCCCGTTACTTGGTTGACATACAGGGCAACCAATCAGATGACTGCATCCCCGCTCATGCGCAAACAACGGCGCTAAGCGCTAATCTAGTCAGCGAATTACCTCTTATTTTAAGGCAGGGGTGCCCAATATGTCGATCAGAATCGACCGGGAGCCAGCGAACTGGTCCCAAGTCGACCGCAAGGGCTGGGAGGAGGAAAGGGTGAGAAAAAAAAAGATTTGTTTGTTTGTATCTTTAGCTTTCATTCATTTTCGCCCGTTGCGACTGTTGCTCATCGTGGTGTGCGTGCATATGTGCGCGAGTGTACTGGTGGGCACCCGCATGAGAGCGCGCATGCGAGCGTGCGTGTTTGCGTGTGTGTGTGTGTGTGTGTGTGTGTGTGTGTGTGTGTGTGTGTGTGTGTGTGTGTGTGTGTGTGTGTGTGTGTGCGCGCGTTTGGGTGTGTGTGTGTGTGCGTGTGTGTGCGTGTGCGTGCGTGCGTGCGCGCACGAGGAAGGGTATGATGTGGCTCTTTGCAGTAACACAGTAAAAAAATTGGCTCTTCGTCTCTGACCTGTTGGCCACCCCTGGCGTAGACTGTCAAACCTTTCATTATGGGGGCTGAACAACAGTGCCACTCTGGGTTGGATTGATCACTAAAATACTGGTATTCAAAAAGTGAATGCATGTTAAACCAAATTTTACTTCACTTCTGGGTGTAAAAGTGTAGGAGAAGATATTACAGTCGTCCCTCCCATGTCGTGTTTTTATTTTTGCGGTTCCACGGTATTGGACATTTTTAAATGATACATCTAATTTTATATTGCAGATTTTTTGCTGTATCGCTGGATTTTGTGGTGATCATTTTTCCACATGCACTATGGTACTGCAGATTCACATAGCAATAAGGGTGAGCCAGGAGAAAAGACAGTGTCCGAAGTTTAGGATAATTGTACACTTACAAAAAGGGACAAAGTGCAACGTGGCTATTGTAAAGCAGAAATGTCTTACATTGCTGCAAGTCTCTGGTAACAGGTCAACATTGTTAATGGATTTAACATAGCCCACCACCAATGGTTAGAGTGAATTGTAATCCCTCCACAGGTTGGCAAAGATTGACACTTTGATAGAGAAATCTATGAACAAAATTGTATTATGTTTAAAGTTTCGGTTAATTTGGGCATGTCTGGACATACTCAGCGCAGAGGTGTCGGCCGTTTGGGCGGAGGGCCTTTTCTTGAGTAATCACGTCAAAGCAAGGGGGGCGAACAGATGGAAGAAGGCTAGATTCAATCACAGAGTGGGAAAAAACAAATTGGGAACGAAGAGTTGTTGAATACCAAAAGACAGTTTGGGAACAGCTGTCGCGCCCAGGTGGACATTTGTCATCAGCAAAGTCTGTGACTTGTGTATTCGGGTAGATCAGATCACTACCGAGGGGCCGGACCGGGGGCCGCGGTACGCAAATCTCGGGGGCAGTGTCTTTCTTGTATTTTGCAATAAAAGTTCGAACCGGCGGAGAGGGAGCGGAGAGTGTGTGATCATCGGAGCAACTACCGTCGTTCGCTCTCAGAGATCCGCTCCCACCGATATTGAAGACAATTTTCCTGTGTGCTGAGTCAGGTCTTTAACTTTGTCCGAGAAAATCTCTGACACACTTTCAATCACTTTATTGAAAAAATGGTAAGAAAAAAAACACCTGACAAGCATTCGTACACGAGCTACCAGTAACCACAATTTAAAACTTAACACACAAGTTTTCCAAGCCAATTCTACATTCGCTGACTCCCATAACACTCAACAGGTAAGGCGCCATCTTTGAAAGTCACCGATACAACACTGTAGAACAGGGGTCCCCAACTGCCGGTTGGCATTTGGTACCCGGCCGCACAGAAAGAACTTGCCTTAATTCCATTTTATTTATTTCGGAATACGAAAGATGTTTTATTTTGAAAAATTGCCGGATTCTCCGTTACATCCGTCGGTGTCACGCTTGACACGCGTCAAGCCACGCTTCTCCGTCACGTGACCGATTAGGCTAAAAACAAAATGCAGGAGCTCGCAAAACGAGTAAAAAAAACTGCTGGAGATCGCAAATGACGGCGGCCTTAAAAGTACGTTCGAGACAACTGGATTAAAGTTATGGCTGAATCCTCTGAGATCGCCACAATAGCACTGTTGCTATTTCCGACATCCTATCTGTGTGAGGCGGGGGTTTTCTGCAGCAACGGCGACTAAAACAAAATTACGAAGTAGACTGGACATAAACCACACACTTGAGGTGTCATTGTCTCCTATTACCCCGAGATGTGACCGTCTGGTTGCAGAAAATCAAGCTCGGGGCTGTGGTGAGTCGTCATTTTCATGCACTTTGAATTTGCGCTGTATCGTATTTTGAAGGCATTAAACATTACCATAGCGATCAGAGTGTTGCGGCCAGATTAGATGCTCCTTGTGTTTATTATTATATTTCGAAAACACCACAGTTTTCATGCAGCTCATACCATATTATTTTGTTGTATTATTTCCGCCACACCTTAAATGCCGGTCCCTGAAAATATTGTCTGACATAAACCGGTCCGTGGGGCAAAAAAGATTGGGGACCCCTGCTGTAGAATGTGAAGATGGCACCCCGAAGTGGAGAATAACGATACCTGCACATCACATGCATATTTTATAGGTCAAAGGTTTATATTAACAGATAATTAAAATAAATCCATGGTGTCTACTTTTCAGATTTTACTCTTTTGTGATGGCTTCTGGAATATTACCTCACCGATAAGCAATGGACTACTGTACAGAGTCAGGAGGATGAATAAGACCGTAGGATAGTAAAATACATCCTTGTGACTTGGAAGAAGAAGAAGAAGAAGAAGAAGAAGAAGAAGAGGAAGAAGAAATCGTATATGATGTCATAGCACCGTCCTGAACTACAAATAAAAAAGAAATACAAGACTGGTTAGTGAGAATTACAATATGTATCGAACCCGAATGTCTGGCAGAGGCCCAGACAGCAACCCCCACCCAATACAAAACTATTACGGCGATCAAAGGCCTCCACCTGTGCCGATTGGAAGCTAGATGCTTATGCTATTTTGAGACACTGTCTATCACGTCAACGATAAGCAAGATTTTAATGTGTCAGAAAAAGCACACACCCGCCAACTCCCAGTGTATGACGCGCAGTAACATTTCAGTTCAGCAACGCTGGTGACGGGCAATGTTCCCTCAAAGGCAAAGCATGTGCGTTGAAAATAACTCATAGCTTGACTTGACCCATTTTCATGAAAACGCGGTGCTATCAATACAGAAAATACATTTTTGAATATTTCAGTTTTGTGACATCTACGATTATAGGGCACTTTTCCTGTTCGAGTGTTAATATCGTAGAGTCAGGGACATCATATCTATCTGTTCATATCTATGATATGATATGATGATAAAGCCACTTTGTTCCCAGAGCGCAGTGCGCAATAATTAAAATTAATAAAGTTTTAAGGATGCTAATCTTTGTCATATGTGCGTTTGTGTGAATAGCAGTTGAATATTTTTCCTATTTAACTGTCACATTTCTTATGATAAATGTTGCACTGTTTTTATTTTATTTTTTTAGACAAACCGTAACTTTAGGTTGTATGTAAAATAGCTAATCCTGGTCAAATCCTACAAAGCATTAACATACGGGTAAATCTTTAATATATGCATGTATTTACAGAAATTGAATCTTATCTGTCAGACTTGTATAGCACATATGTCAAAGTGCCGGCCCGCGGGCCAAATCCGGCCCGCGAGAATGTTTTCAGTGGCCCCTGGGATGATATTGATTTATTATTAGAACCGGCCCGCGGACCGCAGCAAGCCGAGAGCCCGCAGATCTTTTACACGCACCAATACTACATTTCCCACAATGCAACGGTGACGCGCCAAGCAGTCAGCCGCTTTATTTAAATATTTATTAGTCAAGCAGTCGTTCCCATAACAGTGACATTAGCTTTCAGATACCCATCAAAAATGACAAAACGGAAGGTGGACACTGAGAACCGGGGCTTTCAAACAAGGTGGGAGTCGAAGTATATGTCCATGGACGTAGCTGGAAAACCTGTGTGTCTTCTGTGCGGAGAAAGTGTGGCGCGATTGAAATAGTGTAATCTGAGACGACATCATGAAACGAAACACGC